GTTAGAGTATCTCAGGGCATGCAGGAATACGACACTGAGTGGTTTTTCTCTTCCTCTTCTCATGATTTCAGCATGGTTAGAGTATCTCAGGGCGTGCAGAAACACGACCCTGAGGGGTTTTTCTTCTCATCTTCTCACAATTTCAGTGTGGTTAGAGTATCTCAGGGCATGCAGGAACACGACCCTAGGTGGTTTTTCTCTTCCTCTTTTCATGATTTCGGTGTGGTTAGAATATGTCTTTCCTTCTTTCACGTGAAACGTGTTTGGAATAGACATTTGCTTACTTCTTTCCGTAAGAAACATGGTTGGTCCTATTTTGATTTAAGCTTGAAGCTTGTTGCATATGCTGTCATTTTGTTATTACTCATTGCATTGTCTTGCATGATCATGGATTTTCAAAAATAACTGACTTCGCAAAGCGTGTAAGTCCAGCTTTCAAGTGTATTCTTGTGCATATGATTTGCATCTTGCCCATGAACTACACTGGTTTGATTCCTTACAAAGGGATACGTAGGCAACTTTCAAGTTCAACCAAATTGCATTTACATTTTGATTGCTTGCCCAAGTCTTATGGCCTTGTCAAATGGGTCGTCTTCAGACTTTGACATTCACTCTCGTCATTTCATGACTTTGAGCTCTGTCAAAGAGAGGCAATTGTAGACACCCCATTTTTCATTGCCCTCAAGATTTGGGCGCCTTATGTTGAACACTTGATGATAAATTATTACGCTGCATAGTCGTTCAATTTCTTCAGCAAAAGGCTTCGGTTTTGAGTTTCAGAACCTAAAACCTTGCACCTCCTTTGGGCTAAATCTAATTTTTTCTAGCCTGACCACTCAGAGGCTTGTTGGCCAACAAATGGCCGGCAAGCTGGCCATGTTCAACGCCAGGCACATATTTTGCAGCCAGCTGTCCCCCCATGTGCGTGCCTTGAACTAGCTGGCTCAACACAAATATTTTCTACAAGGGAGCCTGTTTTTCTATAAATAGATGATCACCCCTCATGGTTTGGGGTTAGAAAATTTTGCCAAGAGCCCAAAGCTTGCCAAACACTCTTCCTCTCTCTCTCTTGCAATATACATACACTCTATATACACTTCCTAAATCAAAAAATTTGAGGCTTCTTGCTGAGATTATTGAACATAAATTTCAACTCTTGAGGGTGATCACTTTGTGGTTTGTGAATTAAAGAGCATCCTCTCTTCAAGAGGTATAGCCTTGACCATCTCTTTCCTTGTTTACACTACTATTTTCCTCTCATTTTATTGTTGTTATACACTATTTTGGACTGATTTTAAGTGTTGAAACTTGTGATTAAAAAGCTACCAATGGTGAAGGGGTTAATCACCCTTTCTTGAACCTTATTCCATAGCTTATATCATTGTTCTTCACACTTGTTTCTTTGATTTATATACTATTTGTCAGAGTGTTCAAAAGCTAAAATATTTGATTTAAAGGTCCAAAAAATGGAGGGATTAGCCAACCTTCCCTAGGCTTGCCTACTAGCTTTGTTCTCTTCTATTTTTGTTTATATTTTCTACTATTTTTAAACTAATTTCAGCACTATTTTGTGCTATTTAAGGGTTGTTTAGTGTGTTTATCTAGTTTATGCTTTGAATTCTATGCTTGTATTGTTGTAAGTCCTCATAGATTTGGTTGTTCAGGCCATAGACACCAATCGATTTGAGTTGATAGCTCTCTTTACATAGTTTTCATACATATATTCAGACTTGTAACAATCACCTTTGCATAATCATCTTTGTAACCTCCCTCCTTTCTTTGCTTTCTTTGATTAAGAGTTGTCTCAAACACTATGTTGTTGCTAAAGGAATGAGAAAAAGACTTTTCATGTCTAATGGTTTAATCTCTTCGGAGGTTTATTACCACGGCATTACATCTCTCTCATGTTAAGCACAATTTCTTGTTTGACACTTCACTTTATTGCTTTTTTTGCACTTAGTGGACGTAATTATCACTCTTGGACAAAATGAAGAAAAGATAAGAAAATGGAAAGGTAATGCAAAATACGCTAATAAAATTGGAGTAAAATAAATTGAGTTGGGTTCAATCGGACGTTATATTGAACCTATTGAGTCTTGAATCACTACATGCTTCATAGTGATGTTTAGTGATTCAAAAATCAATGTCTACCACTTCCCTTGATATGACTCTATGATAGGGAGGAGGTATTGTTAATCTTTCATTTCTTTTATTAAACCGTTATCCTATCCGTACATAGATCATCACGCAACAAACGTGTGAATATTGATGATTTGTGAACCGAATCTACTCCTCCCTTGATCATCTTCATGATAGGGAGAGGCAAAAAGAATAAACATCTCTTGGCAACACTCTGTTTTTGCTCTGTTTCAATTCTGTGGCAGCGGGGCAAAACCCAAAAACAGTAACCGCCCGGCCACCTTTCTGTCCAACCGACCACTGCTCAAACCCAACTGGCCACCTTTTGTTATGCAGGCAGTGGCATTTTCATGGCAGAACAAAGCAGAAGCTAGGGCAAAAACAGATTAATTTTCTGAATACAAACAAAACAGAATCTGAAAGCAAAACAGAGAGGTTTCTAGGAGGATATTCTCATTTGTGCGCGTGCAACTCTTCACTTCTTGTAGACCTTTCAATTTAGTGCTTTAATATTAGTGTGTAGTAAATTAATTAGTTAGCTTAATTCGGTGTTGTAATATTTAGCAAAATAGGACATTTATTTGAACCCTCTTGTATGAGGGCACACTTGTAATATTGTGTATGTCTTCCAACCTCCATTCTTTCTCCCTTTTGTGGGTTCCAAAGTGGGAGAAATAGTCTATATTTGTGTGCCTCACATAGTAATGTTGGCATATTAATAATCAGAACAAGAGCATATAATGTAAATAAAAATCACATCATGATTAGTAGACGCCGATCTTTGATCAGGTAAGTAGGGTGCTCAATCCATGACCTTCCCCTCTCATACCTAAGTTCATGAGCCAAGACACTTTGGTTATGACGGACAAGTGGCCTTTGGCACGATTCATAGGTTTCCTAAATTTCCTAAAAATATTTAGGTAGCGACTCTGAAATCTGGCAATGCAGTCCATTTTTGCAATTTCTAATTATAAATCGATTTTAAAAAAATTTCCGGATTTGGACTCTCATTTATGTTTTTCTGTTTCATATTGCATTTGTGAAACTAGATTCAAAACCGCAGTAGTCCGAACTATAGGGCTATCATATCCAATGAGACTTAACCCCTCCGAGGTGCACGAGAAATCAGCCACACTACTGTCCCTCACGTCCATTGACAACGTCAAGATACTCCTATTTCGATTAATCGAGAAATTTTAGGGACATATTGAAGGAGCAAACATGCTAGTGAGAGGCTCAAAGGGTGCTGGCATTGCAGCGGCTAGCCCCCGGACGTCGTGCCAGTGAGTAGGTCATAATGCCACCATCATACCTGGAAGCGCATGTACTAGTAGATAAAGACTTGGCGAGGCTGAGCGCCACCCTCTTTTCCCTCGAGATAGAGAAAACGCCGCCCGCCGTCGGCTTCCACCAGCTAAAATTCAAGCTCTATGATAGAAAAACAAATCCGTACATGCACGTGATCCACTTTCGACTAATGGTTGGCCACAAACATAATGATGCATTGATGTGCCTCACTTTCCCATCATGTTTGGGCGAATTAGGCCTAAAGTGGTTCAAAAGGCTGCCAGAGAAGAGTATCGAGAGGTGGCAGTAGTTAGTGGAGGCATTCGTCAACCAATTCAAGACAAATACCAAAATGCCCAAGGAGGTCGACCATCTTTTGGGAATCAAGATGGAGTCGGGTGACTCGTTAAAGCCATAAAACGCTAAGTATTGGGAAACATTCAATGAGATTCTTCATTTCCCGGTGAACCTAGCAATCACCCAATACAAGCACGGTCTTCCAGTCGGACATAGACTCAGAGACTCGCTTACCATGAACCAACCTTCTATCTGGAGTTGCTCATGCAACGCATTAATGAACACATCTGAGTCGAGAATGACGCGACTCTAGCTACCATGAAGGCAAATTTGGTAGTAGCGTATAAGAGAATTATAGGGAAAGTTCACGCAGTTAGACATGAGTGAAACCATCTGAACAATTGTGGAAGAGAATAGAGCCATGAAAACAATCGCAATAATAAGAACCGTAACTCTGACCAAGCAAACTACCCCTGCGATACTGCGGAGGATGCTAAGAGAAAGTTGAACACCTGAACAGGCATCACCACGATCTTCAAAATTCCAATCTACCACATCCTTAGTGAGATCCGTGATGAGACATACATTCGGTGGTTGGCTAAGCTAGGAGATGTCCAAAGAGGCTTTAATCCGCGATACCGCTTCACATTCCATGACGAGCGCAGGCACCACACAGAAGATTGCGTTCCTTTGAAGTAGCACTTAGAAGAATTGGTGGCAATTGGGCGTTTGGACCAGTACATCGAAGGAGGCGTTAAGGCTGCGCCTCAAGGCCAAGATGAACCTAACGGCTTAGCTGCCTTAGACGCTCCTCTCCAAGGTGTGATCAACATGATCTATGGGATCATCAAACCAGTGCAGCCTCTTGCTTGTTCAGTAGGTTTGCTTCAATCTGCTCCTTAGACTGCGCGCTATCATTCCAATCTTCTCCCACCTATTGTAAAAATTGTTCAATTAAGCCCAAAAATACTAGATACATATCCGATGTGACAAAAAAAATTATTTTTCTTCTTTTGGTTGCCCATTTGTATGTCGCATAGGTTTCTCTATTTGTGAAATGAATTTTCAAAAAAAAAAAAAAGAAAAAAAAAAGATAAATGGACAAAGACTCAGAGGGAAGTTGGCAAGTCAAAAAGAATTTTAAATTTGGAATCTTGTCCTTGAATTCAGCCAACATTTGAAATTTTAAATTCGTCCAAATGGGTAAACAAATATATCATAAATACTAGTGTTTATAATTGGACTCACAGAAGCTCTATATTTCGCAAGCTCTTTCTCGTGTTTCTGCTGGAGCTGTCTTTAGAGAGCCTGGTTCTCCTCTGACATTCTGATCTGCCTTGCACGAACCTGAGACTGCACGCGAGCCAGAGTCTACATGCATCGTAATGTGGTCATGGCTTGTCGTTTGACAGAGTGACCTTGTATAAGAGACTTCAACCTCACAAGCCCTCTCAAGGCCCGCAATGCTCTCCTTGCCTGACAAACAATGAACCCAATCCCCAATCATCATTAAACAATAAACATTTCTCATGCGGTTACTTTTTACCAGAAATTATATGTCTCATGATCAAGGATATTTGAGTTCTATTGCTTATGCGAGTTTTTTCAATACTTCCGTGTTGGGATTAGTTACTAGTATTAATTTGATACAAATTTATATTTCAGGGGAACTAGTTGGAATAGGGTTTTGGTTTACACAGCCTAATGAGGCAAATACTTGTCAAAAAACATTTAATCGAGTGGGAGATTTTGATTTGTAGAAAACCTTAACTTAACCATTAACACTTCAAAGATTATGGTAGATGATTTTTTGCATTTACTAGCAAAAGTCCAGACATTAAAATAAGCAATTAATGCAAAAATAAAAAATAAAAATGGTAACAAACTGCAGAATGAGTTAAAAATGATTATTCAGAACATGCCATTGACTCAATATGAAGGCAAATTCAGTTTAATAATGCTCACTGCACAACTGAAATTCAACTATTTATCAGAAGTCAATATTCGTGAAACAAATTCCCACAGTTTGGCTAGAGCTACAGGCCAGATTTTAACCATACACGAGTGTAAAATGATGTCAAATCCAACAAATGTCATAAAAGCACATTTGGCATTTTCTCAAAACAAAAAACAGCATATTAAGAAAGAATGACAAAGCAAACAAAAGAAGAAAACATTTACAAAATGCGTACTTCATGAACTAAATTAGACAAAAATGGGCATTTTATGGGAGAAACTAATAATACCAAATATCCTCGGAACGCTGTTTGAATCTTGATTGCAGCAACTTCCTCCTTCGATTTGCCAGAGTAACGGGCTTTGGCTGTGAGCCGAACAATCTCAGCAGCAGCCTGAGCGGCTGCAACAGCTGCCTCAGCAGCCACGGCAGTGGCAATGGCAACAGAATAAGCATGTTTGTTTTGCTCATTTTCGGCTTCTGTTAATTTCACATCCTCTATTGGAGTTATGGCCAATACAGTTTCTTTAGGTGGAGAGCCCGGATAGGGGCTCTTTCGTTTCCCAAACCATTTGTTCTTCGATTTATGGGTTTTCTGTTTAGAGAATTGCACATTGATCAATCACAGTTCTATTACACACACACACACACACACACACATAGAGCTTATGGAAGAGAGTGAAAATAGAAATATTCTAAAACCTTGTCTTTCTTAGCCTTGGAGTCCGGACTGAGAGCCTTCTTCACTGCAGAAATCCAGCTCCCATTCTTCCCCATTTCCTAATCAGTTCATTTCTTGGGAAACAAACAGGCATTTATGAAACTACAATCCTAGAATATATCAAATGAACCAAAAAAAGAAAAAAGAAAAAGGCACATGTATTGAAAACCAAATCCAAGAAAATATAGTGTGCAATTGATGTTTATTTGAAAAAATAAATAAAAATTTAAAAAAAAAAAAGAAAGAAAGAAAAAGAGAGAACCAACAGATTTAATAATCACACAGTTGTAAATGCCTAAATAAATTCACAAGTTCTAAAATTTTAGAACAGATCTTAAATGAAGACAACCAATTTGTTCCATTATTTACAGCTTTATAAGAAAATCATCAATAAAGTAGAAGAAACTTGTGGACCAAATTATCCAATTCATTGGACAGGCAACCAATCGTGAGAGACCCAGATGCAGAACTTCACAAAATAATGAGAAATGAATGGCGTCACATCAAATTTTCCAATAAAATAAGAAAAGGAAAGGAAAAGATTTGAACCCAATTATCCAATCCTTGTTGAAGACAACAAATGTTGCAATACCCAGAAGTTGAAAATGCAAAATCTTGAAGAAAACATGAGACTTAGTTCAAACTTTCTAATTTAGAAAACATTATAATCATAACCCAGAGAAACAAAGAGAAAGAGAATAAGAAAGAGAACAAAGTTGTTGTAAAATGTTTTATTTCACATCCTCAACAAAATGATAGGAATCAGTTGGGTACCTGCAAATGAAAATTTGGAGAATGCAGGCAGATCTGTGCTAGTTTTGAAGTTTTCTGAAAGAGAACTTGAGAACACTGAGTACACAAAGAGGAGGGAGAGAGAGAGAGAGATCAGCAAAGAAAACTTCAGCGACAGGGAACTTAAGGAAGACAAGAATAACAGAAAGGGTGGGGTGGTTTTTTTTATTTATTTTTTATTTTTTATGACGGCAACATTAACTATTTCTACAAGAATAGATTTGCATTATGTACATAGAAAAGTTGTATCACCAGAAAAATATAGTGCTTGTTTGGTTTATTTTTAGGAGAGTTGTTTTTGAAAAAAAATTTGAGGAGAGAGTTTAAAATTTTTTTTGGTTTGTTTGGTTGTATATTTTGGGAGAGTTATTTTTTTGAGAGTTTGGGATAATTTGATATTTTGAGAGAATTTGAGTAGATGTGTGTGAGAGAAAAAGTGATTGAGAAGGAGACAGGAAAGAGAAAAAGTGATTGATTGATGTGTAAGAGAGACAAAGTGATTTTATAATTTTTTTAAAAAAAACTCAAACCAAACAATTTTTTTAAACTTTTTTTCTAAAACTTATCTCCTAAATGCAAACTAAACATACCCATAATTTTTTGGTCACTACACTAAAATATCATTTTCTCTTTAAAATTTGCAAGAAAATGCAATACAGTGCTATTTACTTAGCCAAGCATCACATTTTACCCAACTCGAACTGGAGAATAATATGTGAAGATAATTAATTTGTTAAATATTATATTTCTTTCATATTGGCCCGTCAAATATAACATTTTTTCTTATATACAATGACAAAATTGAGATGGTTAGCCAACAATAGGCACCAGTTTTTCCTTCCTTTTTTTTTTGGTATAAATAGAACAAAAAATATACTAATACTTTAAGAATATTAAAAAAAAAAAAAAAACAAAAACAAAACAAAAACAAACAAACAAACAAAAAAAGAAACAAACAAACAAATATTGAAAGTATTAATATGAAAAAGTAATTTTTGTACTATTTTCACAAGTTACCCTCAAGTTTGGATCAAATAAAATGTCACATGTCGGCATGTGCCACAATGTAGCATGCACGTATTTTTTGTCAAGAATAATGCTATACATACATACTTTTTTTTTAACAAACTAACATAACGTTTTAATATCAAAACATTGCTAATTAAAATGGAACCAACATAAATTGTATGATAGAAACACCTTATCAGTTGCATTAGTTTATTGGCTACAGGGTGGTTTAGGATGATCAAAATAAGTACACTTTATGATTTTTTATGAAATATGAGTTGGATATAGGTTGGGTTTGAAGTGATGTGGTAGAGAGGTGATATGACTTAAATAAGACAATGTGACTTAAATAGGATAGTAACTTTTTAAACAGTTGTTGTTACTAGATTTGTTATTATGACAAACAATACCTAAATTTGAAACTCCGTCAAATTTTGAACAGTTGTTGTTACTAGGGCAAATTAGAAATAATTTTGGATACTTTGAAGACCAAATCGAAAAAAACAATCTTTTAAGGATCATTGTGAGAATTCACTAATACTTTAAAAGGTGAAGTGCAATTTACTCTCTCTGATCTATTCTCCTGGTCTAGTAGAATAGTGGTTGATCGTGTATCCATCTATTTTGTGTCGAAAAAATAAAATAAAGCTATCATATATTTTCGTACTATTAGAGCATCTCCAACGGTTAACCTAATATTTCATCAAATCTGAGTTAAAAAATGGCAGGTTCTTGCTTAAATAACTTCAAAACTTCATGATATGCACATGCATGTAATGATATGATCTATATTCTTCCTTCTAGCTCAATTCTTGTGAATCCATGGTTTAAGCTTCAAAATTATACAATCTAAGGGTTAAATTCCTACCTCAAGCTTGAATTCTCAAGTATAGAAGTGTAATCTTTGAAGTTCCTTTCAATTCTTCTAAGTCTCTAGCAATTACTCTATAATTGAGCTCAAGTTTCCTCCCTTCTTACTCTTACACGTTTTAGTCTTCAAAGATGAGGGGTTGAGAGTGCAAAGTGTCTAAATGGTGTAGAGAGTGGCCTTATATAGGCCCATTACATTGACTTAATTAATCTTGGCTTAAACTAAGCAAATAAGCATTAATTAATCTAATTATTTCGTTCCCAATCGAATTTCAATTAAACTTACCATAATATTCTAAAAATTCCAACGAACACATAATTCAAGTCAATTTCATGTTCGAATTCCGATAAGGCCTTCAATTCATAGAACAAAACAAAATCAGAGACATATTCCTACCCAGAATAGATAAAAACTTTTATAGTACATAACACATGTAATAAACGCAAAAATTGCACCTTAATGACTTGTTAAACATTCTTAATCATGGTTTATATGTTAATCATGGGTCAGGGTTGTTACATAAAAGTCCAGATATAAGTAGGCAATTAATGCAAAATGAAAAATTAAAATAATAACAAGCTACAGAATGAGTCAAAAAAGATTATTCAGAACAGGCCATTGACTCAATAAGAAGATAAATTCAGTTTAATAATGCTAACTGCACAACTGAAATTCAACTAGTTATCAGAAATCTAATCTTCCTGCAACAAATTACCAGCGTTTGGCTAAGCCACCAGCCAGATTTTAACCATACGAGTGTCAATGATCTCAAATCCAACAAATGTCATAATCACAATCACATTTGGCATTTTCTCAAAGCAAAAAACAACATAGTGAGGAAGAATGACAAAGCAAACAAAAGAAGAAAACATTTACAAAATGCGTACTTCATGAACTAAATTAGACAAAAATGGGCATTTTATGGGAGAAAATAATAATACCAAATATCCTCGGAACGCTGTTTGAATCTTGATTGCAGCAACTTCCTCCTTCGATTTGCCAGAGTAACGGGCTTTGGCTGTGAGCCGAACAATCTCAGCAGCAGCCTGAGCGGCTGCAACAGCTGCCTCAGCAGCCACGGCAGTGGCAATGGCAACAGAATAAGCATGTTTGTTTTGCTCATTTTCGGCTTCTGTTAATTTCACATCCTCTATTGGAGTTATGGCCAATACAGTTTCTTTAGGTGGAGAGCCCGGATAGGGGCTCTTGCGTTTCCCAATCCATTTGTTCTTCGATTTATGGGTTTTCTGTTTAGAGAATTGCACATTGATCAATCACAGTTCTATTACACACACACACACACATAGAGCTTATGGAAGAGAGTGAAAATAGAAATATTCTAAAACCTTGTCTTTCTTAGCCTTGGAGTCCGGACTGAGAGCCTTTTTCACTGAAGAAATCCAGCTCCCATTCTTCCCCATTTCCTAATCAGTTCATTTCTTGGGAAACAAACAGGCATTTATGAAACTACAATCCTAGAATATATCAAATGAACCAAAAAAAGAAAAAAGAAAAAGGCACATGTATTGAAAACCAAATCCAAGAAAATATAGTGTGCAATTGATGTTTAGTTGAAAAAATAAATAAAAATTTAAAAAAAAAAAAGAAAGAAAAAGAGAGAACCAACAGATTTAATAATCACACAGTTGTAAATGCCTAAATAAATTCACAAGTTTTAAAATTTTAGAACAGATCTAAAATGAAGACAACCAATTTGTTCCATTATTTACAGCTTTATAAGAAAATCATCAATAAAGTAGAAGAAACTTGTGGACCAAATTATCCAATTCATTGGACAGGCAACCAATCGTGAGAGACCCAGATGCAGAACTTCACAAAATAATGAGAAATGAATGGCGTCACATCAAATTTTCCAAGAAAATAAGAAAAGGAAAGGAAAAGATTTGAACCAATTATCCAATCCTTGTCGAAGACAACAAATGTTGCAATACCCTGAAGTTGAAAATGCAAAATCATCAACAAATGTTGCAATTGTATTACAAATGAGAATTTTTTTTTTGCAATTCTACAAGAATATATTTGCATCATGTACATGGAAAAGTTGTATCACCACAAAAATATAATTTTTTTGGCCACTACACTAAAATATCATTTTCTCTTTAAAATTTGCAAGAAAATGCAATACAGTGCTATTTACTTAGCCAAGCATCACATTTTACCCAACTCGAACTGGAGAATAATATGTGAAGATAATTAATTTGTTAAATATTATATTTCTTTTATATTGGCCCGTCAAATATAACATTTTTTCTTATATACAATGACAAAATTGAGATGGTTAGCCAACAATAGGCACCAGTTTTTCCTTCCTTTTTTTTTTGGTATAAATAGAACAAAAAATATACTAATACTTTAAGAAAATTAAAAAAACAAAACAAAACAAAACAAAACAAAAACAAACCAACAAACAAAAAGAAACAAACAAACAAATATTGAAAGTATTAATATGAAAAAGTAATTTTTGTACTATTTTCACAAGTTACCCTCAAGTTTGGATCAAATAAAATGTCACATGTCGGCATGTGCCACAATGTAGCATGCACGTATTTTTTGTCAAGAATAATGCTATACATAAAAGTCCAGACATTAAAATAAGCAATTAATGCAAAAATAAAAAATAAAAATGATAACAAACTGCAGAATGAGTTAAAAATGATTATTCAGAACATGCCATTGACTCAATATGAAGGCAAATTCAGTTTAATAATGCTCACTGCACAACTGAAATTCAACTATTTATCAGAAGTCAATATTCGTGAAACAAATTCCCACAGTTTGGCTAGAGCTACAGGCCAGATTTTAACCATACACGAGTGTAAAATGATGTCAAATCCAACAAATGTCATAAAAGCACATTTGGCATTTTCTCAAAACAAAAAACAGCATATTAAGAAAGAATGACAAAGCAAACAAAAGAAGAAAACATTTACAAAATGCGTACTTCATGAACTAAATTAGACAAAAATGGGCATTTTATGGGAGAGAATAATAATACCAAATATCCTCGGAACGCTGTTTGAATCTTGATTGCAGCAACTTCCTCCTTCGATTTGCCAGAGTAACGGGCTTTGGCTGTGAGCCGAACAATCTCAGCAGCAGCCTGAGCGGCTGCAACAGCTGCCTCAGCAGCCACGGCAGTGGCAATGGCAACAGAATAAGCATGTTTGTTTTGCTCATTTTCGGCTTCTGTTAATTTCACATCCTCTATTGGAGTTATGGCCAATACAGTTTCTTTAGGTGGAGAGCCCGGATAGGGGCTCTTGCGTTTCCCAATCCATTTGTTCTTCGATTTATGGGTTTTCTGTTTAGAGAATTGCACATTGATCAATCACAGTTCTATTACACACACACACATAGAGCTTATGGAAGAGAGCGAAAATTGAAATATTCTAAAACCTTGTCTTTCTTAGCCTTGGAGTCCGGACTGAGAGCCTTCTTCACTGCAGAAATCCAGCTCCCATTCTTCCCCATTTCCTAATCAGTTCATTTCTTGGGAAACAAACAGGCATTTATGAAACTACAATCCTAGAATATATCAAATGAACCAAAAAAAGAAAAAAGAAAAAGGCACATGTATTGAAAACCAAATCCAAGAAAATATAGTGTGCAATTGATGTTTAGTTGAAAAAATAAATAAAAATTTAAAAAAAAAAAAGAAAGAAAAAGAGAGAACCAACAGATTTAATAATCACACAGTTGTAAATGCCTAAATAAATTCACAAGTTTTAAAATTTTAGAACAGATCTAAAATGAAGACAACCAATTTGTTCCATTATTTACAGCTTTATAAGAAAATCATCAATAAAGTAGAAGAAACTTGTGGACCAAATTATCCAATTCATTGGACAGGCAACCAATCGTGAGAGACCCAGATGCAGAACTTCACAAAATAATGAGAAATGAATGGCGTCACATCAAATTTTCCAAGAAAATAAGAAAAGGAAAGGAAAAGATTTGAACCAATTATCCAATCCTTGTCGAAGACAACAAATGTTGCAATACCCTGAAGTTGAAAATGCAAAATCATCAACAAATGTTGCAATTGTATTACAAATGAGAATTTTTTTTGTGCAATTCTACAAGAATAGATTTGCATCATGTACATAGAAAAGTTGTATCACCACAAAAATATAATTTTTTGGCCACTACACTAAAATATCATTTTCTCTTTAAAATTTGCAGGAAAATGCAATACAGTGCTATTTACTTAGCCAAGCATCACATTTTAGCCAACTCGAACTGGAGAATAATATGTGAAGATAATTAATTTGTTAAATATTATATTTCTTTTATATTGGCCCGTCAAATATAACATTTTTTCTTATATACAATGACAAAATTGAGATGGTTAGCCAACAATAGGCACCAGTTTTTCCTTCCTTTTTTTTTTGGTATAAATAGAACAAAAAATATACTAATACTTTAAGAATATTAAAAAAACAAAACAAAACAAAACAAAACAAAAACAAACAAACAAACAAACAAAAAGAAACAAACAAACAAATATTGAAAGTATTAATATGAAAAAGTAATTTTTGTACTATTTTCACAAGTTACCTTCAAGTTTGGATCAAATAAAATGTCACATGTCGGCATGTGCCACAATGTAGCATGCACGTATTTTTTGTCAAGAATAATGCTATACATACTTACTTTTTTTTTAACAAACTAACATAACGTTTAATATCAAAACATTGCTAATTAAAATTGTGGAGAAGTGGTTTTGGAAATACTCTTCAGATCTTGGGAGACGCTAGTGATCCTCAACTAGTCACCTGAAAAGACACAAACACACCGGTTGGAGGTGCCGGAATTAGCACTCCGACGGACAAGTTAGTTCAGACACTCAGAATAGTTTGTCTACTAAGTTTTGTGAAGTGATTCTTACATACCTTTCTAAATCTGTGGTTCTTGTATTTATACTTGTTTTTTGGGCCTCAGGGCCTGAGCCTACTTTTATCTCATTCCCCTTTTATTCATTCGAAGCCACTGACCTATGTCTATTCGGCTTTCCTAACGTATTTAGCGACCTAGTCACGCAACATGAAGCCGAACAGTATCTAATTTCTGGGGTACGCATCTTCCGACTGTTCTACTTATTCGGCTCCCACAAAAATGGAACCAACATAAATTATATGATAGAAACACCTTATCTGTTGCATTAGTTTATTGACTAAAGGGTGGTTTAGGATGATTAAAATAAGTATACTTTATGACTTTTTATGAAATATGAGTTGGATATAGGTTGGATTTGAAGTGATGTAGTAGAGAGGTGATATGATTTAAATAAGACGATGTGACTTAAATAGGATAATAACATTTTAACATTTTAACTTTTTTAAGTTATGACAAACAAGACCTAAATTTGAAACTCCGTCAAATTTTGAACGGTTGTTGTTACTAGGGAAAATTAGAAATAATTTTGGATACTTTAAAGACCAAATCGGAAAAAACAATCTTTTAAGGATCATTGTGAGAATTCACTAATACTTTAAAAGGTGAAGTGCAATTTACTCTCTCTCATCTCCCGGTCTAGTAGAATAGTGGTTGATCGTGTATCCATCTATTTTGTGTCGAAAAAATAAAATAAAGCTATCATATATTTACGTACTATTAGATGGAAACCTATACCACAGGCAACCTATTATAAATTAGTAAAATTTTATCGCAAAATTTTGTAATATTAATTACAAAATTATTAAAAGTTATTTGTTTGGGGTGTGTTATATAAACATTATTTTTATCTTTTTTAGGTTACATCTCCTCTCTATTTTTCTGTATATCTTTTCATAAAAAGTCAAAAAGTGTACTTATTTAGATCATTTATATTCTAAGATTTTGTTAAAAAAGTGCACTTATTTACAACATTACCTAACTAATTTTTTTACCACATAGGATATGGGTCATGATTGAGACCCCCTCCAATCACCACCCTCACCACCCCCCACACACATGGCGGGTGGTGATTGGAAGAGAAGGAAAAAAAAAAAAAAAAAATAGGCCAATCATGTTGAGAGGGGGTCAAAGGGGGGGGGGAAAAAGGGGTCCGGGTCATTATTGCATAGGATATATAATTAACTTTTTAGTAAATTACAGTCACCTCTTCTAAGATTTGGTTAAAAGATAATGGTTAAATTTGGCCTCTTTTGACAAAGAGATTAAAATCAGCTTTTTGGCTTTTAACTTCTTTTAGATCAAATCATCTCTCTATTTTTTTTTATATATTTTTTTAAAAACAAAAAAACAAAAAAAAAAGCCAAAAAAATTAGTTTTTAATCTACCTCCCAAAACAACTTTTTATCTCAAGTTTAAACTTAAAATTGAGAGTATTTGAAGGGGTTGTAGGGCTCATTATCGTTTTGCCTCCCTTGAAAATTTAAGGGGCACTAACTCAGTATGCCCCATTTACAAAATTCAAAACTCATTTAATTTCAAAACAAAACACTTGTACCAATTAGTCCTATATATTTTTAATTGTTACTATTTTTTTTTAATTTAACATTGCAGGAAATACACTTTCAGCTACTAAAATAATAGTTGCCGAAGTGTTCAACATTGTCGGGAAGTTGGTGGAAATTTGTTGGAGTGTGCCGCCGAAATATCCAGAATATTGTTGGACGTCAAGAATATCGCCGAAGACTCACCAAAATGTCCAAAATATTGTCAAGAAAAAAATAAACAGAGAAATTAGAGAAAAAAATACAACAAAATATGCTAAATATTAACAAACTGAAAGAAATATATATATATATATATATATGGCAACAAGAAATAACAACAATAGAGAAAAAAAAACACATACTTTTCAAATTTTATAGGGTTTAAGCAAATAATTTCCTATGTTGATCAAATTGAAAAGCATACTTTGAAACTGTACAATTTTTACCATTTCGAAGCATGATTCTAATAAGCATTTCACCTTATTAACTACACTGAAAAATATGTTATGAAATTACAAAATTTTACAATAAAAACATGTCATGAAACTGTAAAATTTTACAACTTTAAAGCATTGATGGGTCGTTTTACACACCAAAAATAAACACTAAACTATACCAAATTCCTTAGAATAATGGTAAGTCTAAGTATCAATCCACAGGAACAAACGGGAAATTAAACTAATTTAATTGTTGAATTCCTAAATTAATTTTGATGAAAGAGATGGTTATTCATAACCTAATGATAATTAAATTAAATAAAGCGAATAAACTAACAATTATAATTAAAGATGAAGTTACTGGTTTTGAAAAAAAACCTAGGGTAATGAATTCACCACTAATTACATAAATAAGGTTTCAATTTGAAAATTAATTATTTTACGGTTCTAACTAAATAATACTTCGCAACTACAAGTTCAAAACATTGATCAAGAAAAAATTAACACGTTCAATATACAGGCACGAACCATCTCAAGTAGTGCGAGTCGTTCACTCTAAACTACGGTAGCAAAACGACTCATCCCTCGTAGTATGACTCGTCTCATACCTTAAATATGAAAGCACAGAAAATCATTGCATGGAAAGCATTCAACAATCACAGAAAAAAAAGAATACTTGAAGAAATAATGAAAAATTATATTTGAAAACTTCTTGAGAACCATAAAACTGTTCAAACCATTACATAAAAAAAAAAAAAAAAAAAAAACCTTATTTACTTGGCTAGGGTTTCATCAAATAGGAGCCTAGTCACTTATGGAGGAGTGGGAAGAAGTAGTAAAAGAAGAAGCCTTCATGAAAATTGTCCTTGAAGCTTGAGAATCCTCTTTTCCAAACCCTAGCCCCTCTTTTCTTTGAAATATTTTTGGACCCCAGAAGCAGCCTTTTTTCTTCTTTTTTTTTTATTCCCAACAAAACATAATTGAATTTTCGCGCATGCAACCCTAGGTGGGCCGCTCGAGCGCCCCTACTTTCCGCTTGAGCGGTGGTGGGCCGCACGTAAGGTGGAGCTTGGCCGCACGTGCGGTGAGGTGGCAGGCTGGAAATTTTCACTACAATCTGCTTTTGCACCACTTTTTGCTTCAATTTGTGTGTTGTCTGCCAAATTTGTACAAGTGCACAAAACACATCATCTCCACCAAATAAACAAAATTCAAAGACTATAAATGTAACTTAAACAGCCTCAATGTGATATCTTTCGACCTACATCACATCTCCCAACTTACATTTTGCTAGTCCTCGACCAAAACAATAGAAATAAGAAAAATAAAATACTATAATCCACTTTCGTAGGAATCATGATTGCATTTAGCATATGCAACCAGCCTTTAAACTACAAGGTTACCCCAAGTGGACGAGTATAGTCTCGTAAGGGTTTCCAAAAATGATACTCACAAACATCAACATATTGATATCTGCCCAACAATAATTAACCACACCACTCCACGTAATAATTAACTTATGTGCTAACTACAGTGTGACATTAAGACATGATGAGTCATTGATGGCACAGTGGACAAGTATGAAGGAATCTATTCAGTAAGAACCACAATTATGTATTACAAAAGTTCAGTCTCCTGTACTTGTGAATGCTAGTAAACATCATCAATGCCCCTGGTGTATAGTACAATTTCCATAACTAGTTAACTGTCCACTATAATAGCCTACTATAACTCATAATAACACTCAACATATACAGAAAAACTAAACTTTTGCAACCAAGATTCTCAAATTTTTGTCTCTTTCTTTTTATTTTTATTTTTATTTTTTTTAGAATGTGCAATGTCTTAATCCATTAAGCTTTCTAATCAACCCATATAACAAGTACTTGGCCAATTACTCCCAAACCAGATAGTTTTAGGGCTCTAAGTGTGAAGACACCCTTATAGGCTTAATAACTCGAGCTGAAAAGATTACGGATCTGAACAAATCATTATTTTTCCTTCACTGTGCAATGTCTAAGTCCCTTAAGCTTTTTAATTAACTCATATAGCAAGTATTGGGCCAATGACTCTCAAATTAGACGGTTTTAGGGCACTAGGTAAAGACACTCCTACGGGGCTTAATAACTCAAGTTAAAGAGG